AGACAGACAGACAGACAGACAGACAGAGAATTAATTTAATAGCTAACTTTAAGTATTATTAAAATGATAAGCAATACAGGTACTAAGTCAGGAATTCTGGTGTTCTCCATATTATATTAGTTCCTAACAGATAAACCTAAAGCCAAAGAGGAGACTGACATAATGATATTACTAAGTAAATAAATTACAACATGTTTTTTTTTAATCCTCAAAGAAACAAACATGTATCTTCTTTTAATTTTATTTTCTGATTAAACTCAAACAAATACCAGAAGCTAAAGACTCATTGTGAAAACACATTCCTGACATTAGCTTCAATTTCTCCTCTCTGTAAAGACACAGTAGCATCAGAAGGAGAATTTCTTAATCATTTCCTCTTGGCTATATAATCTTGGCCTTCAGTTTTCCAGTCTGTAGTTAGAATAAGATGTATGAGCGTAATTTCTTCTACGTTTAAGGAAAAATGATTATTGCAAGAACACTTCAGGAAAATCTTTTTTTTGGTTTTTTTCCTTCTCCTCCCATTAGGGTTACTTTTTGCTTTTGGAAAATAATGTTGCAGACGTTCATATGGTGCATCTGGCTGAAAGGGATATGTTTGAAAGAAATGTATCTGCACAGACGCATCCCCTGCATGCAAACCATCAAACTTCCACAATCCAAAATATGAGTAAACTATTTCAGTGTAACCTCAAGTACAATTACAGTCATTTCTCTTTTAGCCAGCACAGGCATTTTATATAGCCTTGGTAAGAAAACTAGCTGTGGAGTCTTTCTCTGCAACAGAAATTAACTTGCCTCTGAGCCTCAGTTGTCACTAGTGGGTAAACGTGATGCCAATGTGAAATGAACTGTTTACATCTTTTTTCTAGTTTAGTGCACCTTCCTTGAAGACAATATTTGCTCAGTTCCAAATTCTCCTCTATTTCATTCTCCTGTTCATTTTCCCAATGTTAAATTTTTCCTTCTGTTATCAAACTGATCTCTAGGGCAAGTGTTTCAGCCAAGGCCATGGACACCACAGAAGCCTACCTTTGTGATGTTCAATAAGAAAAGAAATGCATTTCACCATTGTTTTGGTGTTCGACTGCTGTCCCTGCATGCATCTCGACAGGTTCCTTGAGGTCTTATGTTTACTTAAGGACAAATCCACTTCTTTTATGGACAGCTGGCCAAACTAGTGCTGGGTGCAGAGGCTGCCATGGTGGTTCGTTAGCTTGCATTCCTTGCCCTCCAATTTTTATAATTTTCTATCAACACTCTGAGCTCCTTGGGCTTTTGATAACTAAATGTTATTTCCTTCCCCTAAAATTCTAGTTGTTGAAATGGAAAGTTTTAAGTTTATGTTTTAGATTTAAATCCTTACTTCCTTAGGGCACACCCTCCCTACCCTCCCCCCCACTCCTTTTGTCTTTATTAAGTGTCCATGTTTGCTTGTGTGTGTGTGTGTGTGTGTGTGTGTGTGTGTGTGTGTGTGTGTGTGTGTGTGTGTGTCTGCAGCACTGGGCATGTCTACTGCCTCGGGAGGGCAGAAGAAGGCATTGGACTCCCTGGAATTGGAGTTACAGTTTTGAGATACCTGGTGGGAATTGAATCCAGGTCTTCTGGAAGAGCAGTGCTCTTAACATCTAAACCATCTCTCTAGTTCCCCTCGGCAAGCACCAGAAGGAACTAATTCTGATTGGCTTCACCAAGAAAAATCCAGGTTTCACAATCTCTAAATATGAGCACAGAATAAAATTTTCTTCCAATGTTGTTTTTAAGTGAACATTTTATCTGTAACCATTTGAAATAATATATCATGTAAAAACCAGGAGGATAGAAGAAAAATGCAGAAAAACAAATTACAGTTCCATTAGTTCACCAACAGACTAATAATCTCAGCTTGTCCCTCCTCCCTCCTAGTGAGGTGAGGATCTTTTTGAGAAGCCTCCTTCAACTAAGATAAAAAAATGGAGTGATTTTATTCTTGAAATATTTACTGACCATGTTTTTGAAATGCAGATAATATTTAATCAATAATTAGTTTCACATGAGTAAAGGTTAGTCATTCATAAATGAGGGAGGCCCGAACTCATGGCTGTTTCCAAACATGGATTGTTTTGATGTGGCATCTTAATACAATGGCTATAATGGAAAAAGATTCAGGCATTTAAAATCTTCTGTGTCCTTTCTTTGACAGTGAAAAATAATGACCATGAATTGCTGTGTTTATCTCCATCTTAAATGTCTTTTTTTTTTAATTTGCTTTTGACAAAGTTTTAAAGTGTCACTGACTTTAATTGAAATCTTATTAATAGTTTTATAATATTCTAACAGTTAGATTATTAAATCATTTATTATATGAATTCTGAATTGTTAGAATTTAGTTTGCCTTCAATCTTGTTTGTTTTTGGTGTTTTGTTTTTGTTTTTCACTGATTAATTTGAGCCTTTACATTTTCAAGCATGCACATAAGGTGTTTTGATTATTCTCTCTCCATTGCATGTTGCAGACACAGGGTCTCACTCTGAGGTCTAGTGAAAATCGTCCTTAAACTCCTGAAAATCGTCCTATCTCAGCCTCTACCTTCTAGAATTACAAGATGTCCCCAATTATAGAAGACATTATTTGAAGGTTTCTAATTGTGAATACTCAAAAAATTTGAATTTGAGAAGCAAAACTGTCTAAGTGTTATTTTTATTTTGGTATTTTATGCATACGTTGATAGACATCACTGGATATTTGGACATTTTCAATCCATTCATTTCAATTTTATGCCTGTGTTTCTGTCTTGGGAGATGGCAGAAAGAACTATTGATATGTTAGTTACACTAACACAATATTCACATTTGACTTTTGGGGTATATATTTTACTTATAAGGATTTTTAACAGATCAGAACATATATATATGTTCCATTGCCTCTGACATTTTTGGCTTTGCCACTACAGTGGAAGATATTCTTGATCCTAAAGTTATATGACAATTTGCTTAAACGTTTGTGAGAATGGGGTTTATGACAGACCATACACTACTAGCATCTTACAGTATGGACCTTACACTAAGGATTATAAAGAGAAAACCGACAGTTCAGGAAGCCGTACAGTGCACATTATCTACATCTCTGACCAGATGCAGGTGCACATGGCCAACATCCCAGCAGGGAGGAGCTTTGTCAGTACTCCATACCTCTACAGTGCTAAGAGAAGAAAAACCTCCATTAAAAAGTTTCTTCCTCAGAGAAGAGCCTTTCAGAAAGTGTACTGTCCTTCCATTTGGCTAGCTCAGACCTGTTGAGATATGACTCTGCTAAGCCCCCAAAAGAAGACAGAAATTAGACACTAGGACCATCTAGATTCATCTCATCAACCTAAATCTAATGCTTGCTTAATTTCTGTATATAATATTTTTGTCCTAGAATTCCCATGTTGTAAAAGGCAAAGATCTAAGTGTCTCTGATGTAGAAGTGTCACCACATTTCAATGATTTGAGTTCCCTTGAGCTTTGTGACAGATAGGGAACTTCAGAGTCTTTCTATGCATATACATTTCTTAGGATGCAGACTCTAGGATGACCACAGTACTGCCCAAACCCAGTGACTGCAAACGTTCTTGCCAAGCACTTTAGTTTATTTAGTGTGCATGCTTAGGGATTCAATCTTGTCTTCTTGTTTTCATTTACTTAGAGCCTATTGGTTTTGTCAATGCAATGTTCTGCCCTTTCTATTCACCCTGGAAATGGACATGAGAATCTTCTAGACATTTCTCACAGAGGATTAGAAAATCAGTAACTGTCAGCTGAGATGGTATGTGGACCCCACAATGATGATCAGAGTGTACAACATACTTTCCTCCACACTGTCCCAAAGTCTGAAATAGGAGAGCATGGTAACAGGAGGTCTTTAGCTGGACCCTCAGCCATTCCTCCAGTGTAGCTCTATCGGTTTGAGAGTCAAGATCATTTTCTCATTCCTTTTGACTTTGGAATCTTTTTCAATTAAATGCAAATTTAAGTCAGGGCCAGGGAAAGTCATACACAAAAGCATGGTATGTACACTCAAGGACAATTTATTAAATAAGGAAGTTTAAGAAATATACAAATCAGCTATATTCAACATTCAGACAAAATAAGTTACAGAAGCTCAATTGTTTAATAATGCCAAGTAATAAAACAATGAGATTGAAATCCTGACTGCTTCAATTTTAGCTCTATCACATATTTGAAAAGCAACAATATTTTAAAAGATTATCCAGTTATTCTTAGGAGCGTCACTATTTCATATACAATTTATTATCTCTTAATATCTACTATTTCTTAACCAATCAATAAATATAGACACCACACAATGTACATCATTGTGAATTATTTAAGGCATCCTGCAGTTCACTAAGTGGATGTCATTATCTCTGTCACTCCACAACAGACAAAGTACAGAGGCTTGCCCTGCAGTCTCCTTACTAGTACCACAATTGATCTATGAATCAGAGATACAACTGCAGAGCCTGTTATCTTTAGCATACCATAAGCCTGTATCTAATTATCAGAAAATAACCATAGTATGAAAGAATTTTCATAAGTGCCACGGCACAAATTTTATGTAACATTCTAAATTTTGTCATTCTGTGTATCTATGGAAGACTAAGACTAAAGCTGATTTCTCATATAAAACTTCATGCAGCACAGGGCTTCCGTCTTTATTATAATATACTCACAATATGGCAAATAAACTCCCACTCTCAATGGAGAAAGCAGGCTTAAACAGAAGCTGATTAAATGTTTAAAAATAATTTTGGGCACTCGTTGAAGTGATTCCAAAAGTGACATGAATATGGTATAAAAGCCTGAACTACATCAGAATCTCCAGGATTTAGCAAAGGGGCAGTAAGAGGGGGTTTCATTCATGTGTTGGGAGAGAACATTTTCTTTGGATTGGTTATATCAGATGATATGTTTGTTTAAGGAAAAATAAACAGGTCGGGAAAGTTCTATATACGGAATGGAAGGAAAGTGTATTTATGCCTACCCTATTTCAGCAACTGCTCCAGTACAACTCAAGTCTTTCAAAAATATGGCCTTCATTCAGTGGCCAAGGTCACTGTGAGTGTGGGCAATGTTCTATATATGAGTGTGGATCATATATATTAAACTGATGTCATAGGTATTTGACACCCTGCCTTTTAAAAATATTTCCCTGTTTATTATTCATGGATTTTTAAGTTTTCCCTTTGAGATCCAGTGAGCTTTACCTTTTTTCCCCTCATATCCCAAAATCAACTGAATAGCATCCAAGTTTCCTACTGATAGTCAACAACTTTCATTACTTCATTGCTTAAAGCACATATTATGATTTGGGCACATGCCTTGTAAAAACACTACCAGTAGTGTTTAAGGAATAAATGAATCCTTACACTCACTCAAAACACAATTTTCAGACCTGAAAGATTTCCTGAGGATGGAACAGTAGCAGTCAGCGAGATGAGGAGTAATAGGGTCCCTTCTTTTAGGTAGAATTCACAGCAACACAATCGCCAAGTACAGCTAAGAGACTTTTGAATCTGTATTCATTATTAATAGGATTTTAAATCATTATCTCTTCAGTAATTCCAAGTTTGCAGACAAGCTAAAAGTGCACACGCATTAGCAGTAGTGACTGAGGACTTTCATTCTACACCTATTAGTTTATAAACAATGCAGCTGGACCCCAGCAGGACTGCATGTTCTAGACTCTCATTTCCACTGTTATATCAGAGAAAAACAAACATTTGCTCATAGTTTGTGTGTATAAAACATGTAATGATGAAGATGCAAATGGTGCTACTGCTTGTGGGGAGGAATTGAGCTGGCCTCTTCATTAAGCAGGAGATCCACAGGTGTCAGAAGAGAGAGCATAGTCACAGGCTCTAAACTGGAAAGAAATAATTGAGAAAGTAAAGAACCATATGTCCAACAGAAATGGAAAGGATTAGCTTAGAGATCAGATCTAACATGAGAGGACACAGATCCATCACTCATATCAAGCCTTCATAATGTCCAATTTCAGTTGGAACAAATGCATAGCTAGGTTGTTTTGTTTTGTTTTTTAGATTTGGCTAAATGAATGCCACTCCTCACAAATATTTTACTTTTTCACACTAGACACTGCTCAAGGCCAAAGTATGGCATTTGAGCACACACCACGCTATCCTTTGGATAGTCTTTTACACAGAGGTAAAAAGAAAAAAAAAACTACTCTGGAAGCAAATTTCTCTGACAAGAAAATATAAGCCCGACCTCAAGACCTTGGGAGAGATGACCCTGAGTGCCCAGCACTAATCATTAGCCAATTGCTTATCAAACTTTCTGACACTGAGTGCACAGCTAGAGATAATCATGATGTTGAATTATTTTTAAATATGCATATCCTGATAGGCTGACAAATGAGCTGAATAACAGGAAAATTCAATAAAACTAGTGAGATAAAATGTAAATTCTGGCCTTCAAATTAATACAATTGGACCAGAAAAAAAGGACATGACTTTTAATCATTCGTATAGATGCTGGTGTACTACAATTGTTCATTTAAAATACTCTTATTCATAGTGTAGGATGAGCTAATGCAATCAGTGACTACAATCGTAGGATATGCTATTTAAAATAATATTCAGGTCATGAGAAACCACAGCACATTCCATTCAACAACAATACAATGTGTAATATATTATCATGCCAAAAAGTACCAAGTCTAGTTTGAGGTGACATGATTGAGTGCCCCTGGCTTGAACCAGAATTACTCTGCATGCAGACACACAGCCTTAAGCAGAATTAAAGACATGAACTCCTTAAGTTTCAGCTTCTGCCTAGACTGATGCTTTGAAATCTATCTTCATGCGTCTATATTTATTTGATATCCCACAAAGATGTGCAAATGGCTTCTCCATGTGCCATGATCCCTACTTCTCACTACATGAAAAACAGCCATCTCAAGTCAATACACATCCAAATGGTAAACATGGTATGAAAAGAGTATATATTAGTGATTTTTAGTATCTTAAATAGGATACAATACCTTAAGTAGGATATAGAAATATACCTTAAGTAGAACAGAAAATGTTCTAGCCATGAAGGACATTAAGCATCACATTAAGATTCCGTTGCCCTATTCAGTATTATAAAATAAAATAAAAATTCAACAAATGAAATAATACACATCACAGTTGCATTCAATGACATAGCAATTCTTACAAATGAAATATTTGATGACAGAAGTCAATAAACATCATTGTATTTATAAGAATTCAAAAGTGACAGAGTGGAATGGCATCCTTGGCAGAAGCAGAATGCCTTTGGGAGTGGGACAGTCATGTCTGAAGCTGTACACATGGGATTTATTTGTTGTCAACAATGTTCTAGTTCTACTTCTGGATCATGACCGGTTAGCTGCTTCATTTTCCTAGTAATTTATGAACTAAGGCAATTTATACACACTTGGGAGTTAATACTTTAATACATATGCTACACTCTGGGTTTTTTAATGGAGAGATTTTTGTTTTGTTTTGTTTTGTTTTAAGGAACAATAAAATGTACGGACTACCAAGAAGTTACATAGAATGACAAAGACTTAAATAATGACAGAAAGCATTACTCTTTTTAGCAGAAACCAAGCAAGAAAACTTTAAAAGGATGATGTAAATAGCCAGGCTTCAATAACCAAAATTAATAAATGCCACAGTCAAATTCTAACTTGCCAAAATGGAAAAGACAACCTACAAAGGAATGAGTTTCCTATCACTGGAAATATTTAAACTATTTAGGAAAAGGCTGGGCGCCCATCTGTTAGCAAGAGTGCAAAGGAGAGTGCCATATGGAAAAGCTGCAAAACAAGATGAAGTCTGCTCCTCTCATTTCTAAGGTATTATGACTTGTGATGAAACTGGTATCGAACTAGGATCTGTCTCGTTCCACTGCCTCTCCCTCTGCTCTCTCCCACCACAGTCCCTCTCTGTTCTCTTCTGGTTACAACATACTGACAGAAGACTCGATTCTGTAGTTCCTCTGTAAATCTCCATGCTGGAGAGGTGCAGAGACTCAGGGATGTGATGGCAGTCCTTACCAGGGGTCAGACGGAGAAAGTTTTGTGTTTCACGCCAACTCCACTTACCCCGAATCAAAGTATTTGGAACTGGATGCTTTTCCTCCCCAAATAGTTTTTCAAGAATCTGGAAAAATTTACAACTTCAAAAAAAAAAAAACCCACAAGAAAATATGTGTACAATTTCCTGTGCTAGATAAATTAATAAATACTTAATACCTGATTACAGAGTGGTATTCAGATTCCTCTCAAGGACATCTCCATCGCCCGGGTACACAGAAATGTCCAAGACAGCAGGGACCAACCATTAACTTACATTCATTTTGACATGTGCATTCTCAAGTAGTTGAAATGCCATTTTATCAGACTTGTTTTCCAGCTGTTCTCACAAGATGTGAAGCCATTTAGAGAAACAAGTCATCCTGTTAATACCAAGCATAGTCCTTTGCATCATACAAAAGCGGACACACTATTAGTAAAAGCACGGCAGCCATCACTGAGTTTCCTTCATGAAGGAAGGAGAGGAGGGGTGATGGGGAAGGAGGAGAATTCATCCAAGAATGAACACTTGCAAGTAAAGATACATGGGCAAAAGGGTTTACTGCATGACTCACTGTGTCACACTACGGCTTCTATGATGAGAGTTTTCTTTTTTTTTTCTCTTAAATGCCATTTTATTTTATTTTGGGGGTGGGATGTTGCATGCACAGAGGGCAGGGAAATGAATGGGATTGAGATTCATGTTATGAAAGACACAAAGAATAAATAAAGGTTAAGTTTAAAAAAAAACAAAAAACAAAACCATGAAAGATAAAGAAGCCTTCTGAAGCATTCCCTTCATCTCTTAGGAACTAAAGCGATCTATAAATGCATTGAAAGCTCCCCTGAAAATTAACACAAGAACTTTCCTGTTTTGATTGCAGTGAAATTTTTGGTCCAGAGCCAACTTCTTCTGCCTTCCCCACCCAGATGAGTAAATATCGAGACCTACAGTCTAAAAAAGAGCTCTTGCAAGTACCTGCACTGCTTCACATTCAAAGGACCTCAGCCAGGCCAATGAGATGTTTCCATGAGAAGAAGCATGTGAACACTGGATGGTGAAGTGAGTTTGATCCTCAAATCCCACAGGTGGAAGAAGGGAACCAACTCCCATCAGTTCTCTCTCTCTCTCTCTCTCTCTCTCT